CTCTCCTCTCTCTCTCTCTCTCTCTCTCTCTCTCTCTCTCCCTCTCTCTCTCTTCACTTTTTCATTTTATTGTTTCGGATGTGTTGACGCTTTGGTGTTTGCGCGGCTTCACTGCGGCGCAGTGCGCATGGATGGGGGCTTATGGAAATGGTGCATGGAGAGCCGCGTCGTTTTCTGCTCCGTATTTTATTAATGGAAATCTCTTGTGTGCGAGTCGCTTGTATGTAAAGAAGAGTTGCCATAAAATTCCGTCTTTTCTCTCCTGCCGCACGGGCGCGGACTGGTGCGTGTGTGTGCGTGTGTGTTCGTGTGTGAGTGCGCGCCTTCACATGCCGTCGCGGCAGTGTGTCCGGCAGCAATAAAGATATCGCTTTACCTCGACATTTCTCGGCATGCGCGCAATTTCCAATAAACGTGAGCCGCCGCGCGAGCCCCCCGCCACCTCGCCTGCCATGCCATGCCCTGCCCCTCCCCGTCCCCGCGCGCTCGTATGTGTGCGCGCCACATTTCGACGTGACAACAAGTGTCGTTGACGCCAGCGCTGTGCTGGAAATGAAAAGACTCGAATCAAAATCAATCAGCGAGCGGAGGGTGGGGGCCTTTTGGGCAGTCGTGGTGGTGATTGACGTGGGGGGGCTGCCCTGCCCCCTGCCGCCGCCGTCACTGCGTGAAGCAGCGCGATAACGAACGCCATGCCGGCCGGCCGCGCCACAACACGGCCGTAACTAGCGGCGCCTCTGCTAGCCACCCACAGAATTTGTCGACATGAATTCAATTGAGCAGGGTCCTGGCGGGGCGGGCGCGGGCTCTCATTGGCGCCTTTCACACACCGCCCCGGCGCCGGCCCCACACCGGCCCCGCCACTCCAACAGGACTGGAACGGGCGCTGCTGCTGCTGCTGCTGCTGCTGCTCCGCGTGACACTCTAGCGTTGGCTCCCGCGGGCTGGATGGATGGAGGGTCGACAGTAACCCATTTTAGCCGGGCGTCCCTTCCCCCTGCTGCCGGGTCGGGTCAGGCCCCGCTTCTCTGGGCGTCCTGCATGGTAATGGCGTCGACTTCAGGTGTCGGCGGGGCGCCTCTTGCAGCAGCGGGAGCAGCGGCCCATTGTATGCGGGGTCCCCCCTGTCCGACCTGCGGCGGCGGCCGCGGCGGGAGAGGTCCGAGGCCCCATACATTTTCCATGCGGGTTGTGGGTGTGCATACATTGTGGCCTCTAGGCTCGAGGGGGGTAAATATAGTATCGAGTCAGCCCGAGGGGTATGGGGCGTCTCATTAGCACTGCACC